ACCGTACTACAAAGAGTATCGAAAGAAAAACACAGGGTTCAACAAAAACAACCAGAAAAATCAACAGCAACAGCAACAAAACAAGATGAGTAAAAATTTTCAGCCGAATTATACACCCTGTAAATATTGTAATTTGAAGCATAAGTTAGGAAGTAGCTATTGTCCAGCGTATGGAAAGGAATGTGGAAATTGCAAGAAATTAAACCATTTTCAGGCCGTCTGCCGTGTTAAAAATGTTCATTCAGTCAATGCATGTGATTTTGATGATATTTCTAATTTGTACGTTAGTTCATTGACACAGGTAAAAGATTGTGAGTCAGCGACACAGAATGTGAACAGCAATGCAACAACGACAAACATTGAGCACAAGCCAGTATGGAGAGAAGATTTGAGAATCAACAGAAAATTTGTGGCTTTCAAAGTCGACACAGGATCTGATGTCACCGTTCTCCCGAGACGATTGATGGCGTTGATTGCGCCCGACTGCAAGCTGTACCCGTCGAAGACAGTTTTACGCGCATTTGGTGGAAATATCGTGCGCCCGATTGGTACATGCGTATTGTATTGTGATCTGAACGGTAAGCAACGAAAAATTGAAATCGAGGTCGTCGACTTTGAGACTGTGCCATTGCTTGGTTTAACAGCATGTGTTGAATTCGGTTTGGTTGACAAACGTAAAATCACTCATCGTCGAATTAATTTTTTAGAGCATTAGCAATTGAGAGAGCGATAAACAGAGAATTTATTGAGAAGAATTTCGGCGATTTATTTAAGGGACTAGGTAAATTTCAACGACCGTATAAGATTTTGTTGAAAGAGAATTCGATTCCAGTTGCGAAACAAGCGAGAAGAGTGCCTTATGCAGTAGTCGATAAATTGAAAGAAAAGCTGAATGAATTAGAAAAACATAAGATAATAGAAAAAGCAGATATTTATAGTGAATGGGTCCATCCGTTGGTACTAGCGCCAAAGAAAGACAAATTAGATTTTAGATTATGCATCGATCCATCAGAACTGAATAAGTGTATATTAGATGAGAATTTTGTGACACCGAATTTAGAAGATTTGAAAATGAAATTGAATGGAGTTAAATATTTCACCGTGCTCGATTTGAAGGAAGGCTTTTGGCAAGTCGCGTTGGATCAAGAGTCGCAGAAGTTGTGCACATTTGCCACCCCATTTGGAAATTATAGGTTTTTGCGTATGCCTTTTGGACTCAAGTCAGGCCCAAAGGTCTTTCAGAAAATGAATCATGAAAATTTCGGTGATATTAGGAATGTGTTTGCCTACATGGATGACATTCTGGTAACAGGCAAAACAAGAGAAGAGCATGATCGAGCATTGCTAGAAGTCTTGAATAGAGCAAGAGAAAGAGGAGTTAAATTTAATATTCAGAAATTACAGTTAGCAGTTGACAAAGTGAAGTACTTAGGTCACATTTTTTCTGAGGGAAAAATCGAGCCGGATCGAGATAGAATTGAAGCGATTAAAGAGATGGGAATGCCGAAAGATAAAACCGATTTAAGAAAGTTTTTAGGAGTAATTGAAATAATTAGGCCTTTCGTTCCGAATTTGTCTGAACACACCGAGCCGATACGCGATTTATTAAGAAAGAATGTTATTTACCTATGGACTGAACGACACACTGAAGCATTCAACAAAATAAAACAACGAATAGTCGACGCGCCGATTTTAGTTCCATTCGACGAGTCGAAAGAGATAGAAATTGAGTGTGACGCATCGAAAGGTGGTCTCGGGTGTGGTCTGATACAAGAAAAGAAGCCTATTTCATTCGCATCGAGAAGTCTGACGGACACAGAAAAAGAATACTCGCAAATCGAAAAGGAATTTTTGTCAATTTTGTTCGCGTGTAAGAAATTTGAATTTTATACGTACGGGCGTAAAATTAAAGTGAAAAATGATCATAAACCGTTAACCGCGATAATTAAGAAAGAAATTCATAAAATTCCCTCAGCAAAACTCCAAAATATTCGATTAAAACTATTACGATATGACATTCAACTCGAGTACACACCCGGCAAATTGATTCATATAGCGGATTATTTATCGCGTTATTCAATGAAATATAAAGAAGAAGACATCGACAAAGATTTGAGTAATGCAGTGCTCAGCATAAATGTGAGCGACGAGAGAATAATAGAATTTCAAAATGAAACGGATTCGGACCCGATGTTAATGAATTTAAAGAAATATTGCCGCGACGGTTGGCCGAGAAACAAAGCAAAGTGCTTTGAAAATACGAAATTTTTCTTTAAAATGCGAAATGAAATAATGTTGGACGATAATATCCTTTTTTATAATGAACGAATAATCGTGCCAGCATCGATGAAGATGAAAATGCTTAAAATATTACATGAGCCGCACTTTGGCATAGAAAAGACGAAAAAGAGAGCGAGAAATAGCCTTTATTGGCCTGGGATAGACGATGACATAGAGAAGTTGATCAGTAGTTGCGAAATTTGCCAGATAAATGCTAGAAAAAATCAGAAAGAGCCTATGATTTCCCATGACATTCCGATGAGACCATTTGAGAAGTTAGCGACTGATATTTTTGAATTTAAAGCAAAAGATTATTTAGTAGTTGTTGACTATTATTCGAAGTGGATAGAGTTGAAACAGCTAGGGCGTAAGCAAGCCAATGATGTAAATAGTAATTTATTAGAAATTTTCAGCAGAAATGGTATTCCAAAAGTTATCATAGCTGATAACATGCCATTTAGTTCGCTAGAGTGTAGAGAATTTGCTAAATCTCTTGATTTTAAGTTTGAAACTAGTAGCCCGCACTACCCAAAGTCCAACGGACTTGCAGAACGAGGAGTTCAAATATGTAAAGGTATTTTGAAAAAGACTAACAATATGCACGAGGCATATTTGGCATTATTAGAATATCGCTCGACTCCGACAAAAGACCTCTCATACTCGCCATCTCAATTGCTACAAAATAGAAATATTCGATCGAAAATTCCAATGAAGGACACGAAATTCGATCCAAAAACAAACATGAATGTTGAAACTGAATTCAATAGAAAAAAAAATAACGTAAAAAAATATTATGATCGCTCAGCCAAACATAGAACTGATTTTATACACAGACGAAACAGTCGGGACATTCGACGACGCATCGAATCGGGAGGAGCTGACCAAGATTATCCATTGCCAACAACGCCAAGCTCAAACTCAATGTTTGCTCCGAAATGCACTAGAAGCGGTAGAAAATATTAGTTTAAAACCAAAAATGTATTTATTTGAATTTATTTTGATTTTTTAGTGCTTCTCTCATTCTCACTGGTCTGTAAAATAAATTTAAAAAAAAAGGGGAACGAGAGAGATAGTACAAGTAGAAAGTAAGACATAAAAATAATTTAAAAAAAAAAAATATTGAAACGAAATTAAAGAAAGGGAGATGTGGCGTACTAGAATAGTACGCATAGTACTACACACTACTATATGAATTAGCATTAAGAATAAGCATTCAATAAATCATTCAATAAAGCAGTCATCATTCACCACTCAACCAGTACGCATCTCATTTATATTACAATTTCTTTCTAAAAACATTTTTTATTTTTCATTTTATTTCAATATTATGGAATATTTCGAATCGGTACGGTAAATATTTGTTTCTTCGGCTATTTATCAATAACAATTCGATGTTTTCTCAATTTGTTTTAAATACCAAAATGAAAATTTTACCATAACATCAGTGACTGATTAATCAAATGAATCATTTGAGGCAATACAAAAACCTAAATAAAAAATAATCATTATTTTTGATCGCTTAGATTATTATCACATTTTGAAATACGGAAGTGGGGCATTTTTATAGCTAATTCTAAATTTTGGGTGCAAAATAAGATTTTTTCACAAATAAATTGGATTTTTTTCGTAAAATTTATGGACTTTTGTTTGAATTGTAAAATACCGAAACTAAAGCCATAAAAAATGTTGGCTTGAATTAATTTTGAGCCCAAATTTTAACTCAAAAAATATGATTTTTGCTAATGACAATTATTTTTGAAGCTAAAATTAGTTATGCAAATATTTAGGAAACCTCTTTTCATGTTATATGATCAATTCTTTGTTGAAAAATCAATTTTAAGCCTAGTTTTAAGGGCAAAAAAAATTTCGTACGAAAAAATTTATTGTGATACGAATAATCCACTTATGGCCGTACCAATGTTCCCAATTTCCCATTTGCCGAATCACCATTCGACGTCGAAACCCATGCAATAGAACGATAAAATTGTTTTTCTCGGTTGATGGTTGATTTGGTGCGTTGCTTGATGTAATCAACGAGTTCATCGGGTGACAAAACGATTTTGTCTTGGCTGTTTTTGGTACGTTTCACCAGGAATCCGTACCTTGTGATCCAAAAAATGTGCAATGTATTGTTTCTCATGGCGTTTTTGGCGATTTTGGCCATTCTCCCGTAGAATTTGGTTGTGCTGAAGAGATGAAAGGATATATTCAAATGCCATTTAGCTTTCAAAGATACGAAAAAAACATCAAATTTCTCTTTCCACTTACTGAATGTTGACAAACACCCTCTTTCTCGGCACTTCAACCGGCAAATGAATCAAATCGGATGACCACAGCGGTTTCATATAGGCACAGTGCAGAATTCTCTGTTTCACCTCGAATTGTTTCAATTCCACGATGAGTAAAGCGTTCCAACCGGGCGCTCGGGTTATCTTCACAATGTCTCGTTGGCTGACATTTGCCTGTAGCAACGAACACATGTTCAGGAAAATGGCATTTTTATTCTCATTCTCAAAGTACGGGATGCCGTAAATGCAGAGATTGTTGATGAGCCGATTTTGTGCACGTAATTCTTTCATGTTGAAGGCTCTGGCCGAAATTGGTGGACGTTTTACTTTTGGAATACCTGTCTTTTCAGCTGCCATGGTCTCATGTTCATTCCCATCATCGATTTTATCATTCGTTCCATGCTCCGATTTGTATTTTTGCCGAATGATGTCTATCAACTCTTCGATGAAAAGATCGAATAAAATTTGTCCATTGCCAAATTTGGTGCCGGTCAATTGGTGATTGAACAGAAGCAACCCATTCGGGAAAATGACTTTTGTGTTTGCAAAGTGCTTCTTCAACAGTTCACAAAACTGGAGGCAATGAAAATTTAGCGAGTTGCTTCGATGCTCTTTCTTATCGTGGCCAACAAGTTCGATCATTTTTTCCGTTTGGAAATCGCATTTCGAACACTTGAACACGTAGCAATGTTCTTCGATGTGATTCAAGTACTTGTCTCGATCGATGACTTTGGCCTGACAATAATCACAAATCAAATACGGTTCAAGTGTTTGGTCAACAATACGCATGGCCATCTCATGATCAACATGTTCGATAGTATGATGAAATTCTACTTCGAGCTGTGTTTCGAAGACTCGATCGCAATTGGCACATTGATATCGATTGGAATTGTAAGCCAAAAGTTTGATCAGCATGTTATCGTCCAGCAAAATTGGATTCGAGATGTCACTTTGTGCAATCGACTCGTGCTCGTTGTTGAAGTGCTCGATCAAATCGGATTTTTGCGATGCACAAATTCCACACGTGGAATCGTCATTCATATTGACAACAGCAAATGGCTCGAATGAATGTTGCACCTGGTGATGTTTTGCTATATCTCCAAAACTCGCCACGAAATCACAGTAGAAACAACGCGCTTTGGCAACGACGTAGAATTGGAATGGCTTCAACTCTGCTGAATGAACCGTTTGCCAATGTTGATGCACCTCTTTCACAGACAGCTGGAGCTCGGCTGCTTCTAAACAATGAGCACATCCATACATCATTTGATTGACGGCGGTATCGTGGCCTGCAATGTACGATGGTATTAGATTAACTCAACTCTTTGCCGAAAATGCAATATTTTTGGAGTTTTTAACAGAAAAAATCAAATTGGAATGAAAAATGTGCACAATTTTGAATTAGATCACGTCATTTTTACCATCTTTCATTTGGTTATGTTAAATTTTGCTGAAGAAAATTCATTTTTTGCCTCATTTAAAGCGATTTATGAAACTTCTTAATTCAAAATCTACCTTAAAATTCGAAACTTTTTAATCAAAACTCAAAGTTAAAGTCAAAATTTCGCGAAAAATTGCACAAAACTCACAGTCAAGACCAGAATTTGATTGCAAGCAAACAGTTTGGTTCAAAAATTACCGAAAATTCACTCCAAATAACGAAACAAACTGAATCTTACCTGTATTATCATCTTGTTTGAGTTTCTTAGCCATTGTTTCATCGATTATTTCATTAGAACTTTTTCTTTTAAGTGTCAAACTGTCTTCTTGGCTCTTCGTGACCGGTTCTTGGCTCATCGTGATCGGTTCCATGGCCGGAGCAAGGTTCATGAGTAAGTCTGGCATTTGGATCGGTACGTCAGTGTCACTTTGGCCAATAGTAACCACCTCACCAGATGGATTGGTTGAGCTGTTTTCAGGGCGCAGTTCTTCCAAAGCATTAATACTGTCTATGGTGCTGATGCTCTCTAGAGCGTTGATAGTGTCAATTGAAGCTGTCGTAAATGCCGGTACCTCGTCTAATGACGACCGATTGCTGCAATTGTCGACAATTTCGTCAATGACTCGATAATCACTCTTCATTACTACGCCAACTTCAACCATGCTCTGATAAATTTCTTCCGAAAGTTTCTCTTCAGTTGATTGTATCTCTTCACCCAAAATTTGGCCTTTGACAACTTCGTTTGCTGCGATATTAGGTGCACAATTCGATTCATCGGTCGCTTTTTCATCTTGTGGACATCGGAATTCTGTTTCCACATGTTTACTGTTCACTTCTTCCGTGTCAACCTCTTCTTTATCCATGCCGATCTCTCTTTGGTCAATGTCAACTTCTTCTCTGTAATTTGTAGCATCATTTTCTTGGCTCTCTGACTGGCTTTGAAGGCGATCGAAGACTCTAGTCATCCTGAAAATCGATTGCAATTTATTTTTAACGATTTTTTTACATTCTCAGACCATTGCAGCCATTTAACCACAGAAAACATTGAGATTTAAATAGAAAAAGTAGCATTGCCATTGACGATCAAGCAATTTCAATGCAAATCTCCACTCTAACTTACCAATCATTCATTTGGTCCAGGAACTGCTGTTTACACTGGTCAAGTTCCAAGCCGGAGCATCGCAGATGCTCTCTGATTCGTGCCAACGAAGCGATTGTGTGAGGCTCAATGACTCCGATTAGTTTGAGTACCTCATCTTGACACTGCGTTTGGTCCATTTTTCTGTCGATTGATGAAAAAAAAGAGATCAGAAATGCGATCAACAACTACGATTTAAAAAAAATTCGTTTCCGAGCTCAAATTCCAGTTTTAGAACTAAATTGTGAGCTCACAAATGAAACACAGTGGATTTGCGACAGCCAAATCTAAAATGCCTACTGTCACTGCAAACAAACAAATCGATTGTATTTGGTTGTTGCTGTAACCAAATGTAAAGACGCTGAAATTGCGTCGCAATTTCACAAAGATGCACAACACTGAATAAGGCTCATTGGCATTTTTTCCGATATAATTTTGACGTAAAATGCATTTTGGTTCGAAGAATTATACAAAATAAAGGAATAAAACCGCAGTAAACACTGAAAATAATGCATTTTTGACATTTATCGATTGAAATTCCGATTGAATGTCAAGCCAAAATTTGTTTTCCATATCAAAACACTACGGCCTGAATACAATTCCACTTTTCCACTATTTTTTCTACTTACCAACTTGAAAAAAATGGAACTAAATCACACGAACTGCAATTCTTATCGATTCTTTTAACAATAATAATAATCACATACGCTGAACAAATACCATTTCACGTACCAGCTTGCTATTGAAGCTAAATGCGCAATGTTATGCTTTGGCTTCACCATCAAATGACAGTTCACGCGCCAAAGCATACCTCGTTGACGTTTCGCATAGTGTGTGAAGCGTGTGGAGAGAATGCACCATTTAAATTGATACAATTCATTTGTGAAGACTTTTTTCCAATGTGAACTTCACATTGTGAAGAGACCGCCAATTTGATTTCGAATCGAATTCACAACGAATTTTTCAAATGAGAACAAAAATATGGTTTTGTCGAGTGCGAAATAAATGAAAAATTTATTGTAATTCAATTCCATGAAAATAATATGAAAATATGATTTTTTAATCAAAAACGTTGATACAATCTTTTCTAAAGATTTGATGCGAATTAACCTTCAATGCCAAAGAATCTTTTCGCCCCAATTTTGTAGCTAACTACTGTTGTTCATAACAATCAATATGTCAATAAGAAATTTTCTTATTAAGAAAAATAATGGATGTTTCACTATCTACTAATTTAAATTTTAATTGTCGCTTAAAACAGCACACAAAACAGAAATATTATTCCCACAATTTCTGAATTTGCATTTGTTCCATAATCCAAAAGAATGAGTTGCCCTATTCGAATGCAAGCAAAAGTGAGTTAGTTCAAGCAAATGTAAAAAATATATGAAAATAATGTAAAAGTTATTCAGGCACTTTTATGCAATGTTCAAAATTTCGGTAGAAATGGTTTCTTCTGTGATGCAGTTGCTAATGCCTTAATTTAAATCAAAACTTTGGCCCAAGTCGACTTATGTACTTCGTATATTTATGTGTTAATTGCGCTCCTGGGCTTAATCTTGAAAGTTGATCATTGATTCATTGCTCAACTCAAACGTCCACGGCAGTTTTTTTCCCCGCAACGGCACAGAGTACGGTGTTCATCCATCAATTCATATCGATAATCGAACGTCAGTTCATCGCCGGCTTTTACAAGGTCCTTGGTGAAGAAGGCAATGGCCGGGAATCGTTCATCATCACCAACGAACACGCGCTGCTCAAACATGTTTGGGTTGCACGAATGCTGGAATTTAAACAAAATTCACATTTAGTATCAGCTCAAACATGAGTTTCTCAACTAGGAATTCTGCATCAAAGTATGATTTCATGATAATTCCTTTCAAAATTTACCAACTAAATCAAACTAGAACTTACATTGAAGAAACGTGAAATGTTGCCAGAATAAAGGCTATCAACAACAAATTCCTCTTTTTCTTCTGCATCTTCTTGAGAACTCGAATCAGACTCCGATTCCGAGTCGCTTTCATCGTGCCATGTAACCACCTTTGGAAAGAAGTTGAGAAAATCTTGAACAACTTCGTCACTCTCGAGTCGAGCTCGTTTCGCATTCAACGGTGGTGATGGTGTCTTTCGTTCAACAGACCATTCACCTAATGGAAACATTAACAAGAAATGAATGATTTAAAATATATCAAAACGAAATCATGGAAAATTAGCGAAAATATACCCAAATGAAAATGAAAATTACGCACCCAATGAGAATTGATAGCAATTCGATCGGCTTCTAGCGATTTCATTGTCAATGATCTCGCCAATGTAGCTTACGACGAATGTGCCGCGCGGTAAATCGGTCAATGTGCGTACGCCACGGCCTTTCGACGCCGTTTGGAACAATTGCAATTTGAGCTGTAGTCCTCTTTGAACCAGTCGATTTTCGCATTTGTCCACGTTGCATTTACATTCGGCGCCACATTCAACGATTCCACTGACTGTGTGATTCTTCAATCGGAAATTCTTGTAGCCAACGGCCTTATTGTCATCCAGATCGTTAGAATTTGGATTAATTGGCCGTCCGAGCAACTTTTCGATGGTCAGACGCCAACAGCTGCATTTTTCCTTGTCTTCACAGTTGTTGGCACAATCGCAACAACGATTCAAGCTGTTTTCTAGCTCCACGTCTTTGATGGCTAACTTATTTTCAGTTATATAGTTGAAGTTCTTGTCCAACTCAAGACCACTGTCACAGATGGAAATCGGCAAATTGTCATGGTCAATGACCTGAAACATGAGATAGATTAAATTTTCAAGTTGATTGAAGGCAAATTGTCTAAAGATAACAAGAGACTCTTTGCAATATTTGCTGCTGAGCAGGCCTGAGCTGAGTTGAATTTTTTGACTCCGGCACATGAAGCGTTATGAGTTGCGTTGTCGCAACGCATCCACAGTACAAAATTTATCGAGCCAAGTCAAATTTGAGGCTGATACCGCTCGGATCAGCCTCAAATTAAGCTTAACTCGATAAATTTTGTACTGTGGATGCGTTACAACAACGCAACTCATAACGCTTCAGGTGTCAGCAAATTCAGCTCAGCTCATGCTAGTTCAGCAACAAACATGCACTCTCTCTGAAAAACATCGAAATTACCTCAACACTGCTGCGTGGCAATTGGTGATTTTCGGAAGGTTGAAAGTTTCTTTCCAAGGAGAATGATTCGATGCATAGTTTTGAGTTGACTTTAGCTAAGTATTCCCGTATTGCGCCATATGTTCTTAGTATGCGATTGCATGGTGATTTATAAAACGGTCCCGATCTAGTGTCCACAGAATATTTGAAACCAACTGCCAATGGTCGATGGAACAGGCTGAACTTTTTGATTTCTGTTTCATCTTCCAGCCGCATGCAATCATGGTTACATTCATGATTTCGATGCAATGGCCGACCATCGGGTTCAGGCGCTTGATTGATTCTTCTCGATGCACGGCTTGGTTGCGAACATCTTTCAATCATAATACAATCTTCGTCGTCGGCGCTGGAATCGGTTTCGACATGCGTGAAATTGAATAATTTATCCAGCACTTTACTTTCGATCAATTTCCGCCACACTTGTTCGATCCGGGGCGAGCCCAAATAAAGCCATTCATATCGATCCGGTTGTTCGTCTTGCTTGAAACAAAATTTAGCCAACGGAAGATCAATTTCGGTCGTTACCGCTGAAACCCAATCGCCATTCAATTCAATTGACACCAATTGATCGATTGTTGGAAGAATTTCATGGTGCTTTTCAAGCGATTGATAGAACTTGAAGTAGGCTTTTGCGTTGGAATGAGCTGAAAATATAAAATCACCGTATAGGATTGAGCATTTTTCTTTGTCAAAGTATGTATTTCTCTTGAAAATTACATTTTCATACTTTTTCGAAAACGATTTGAACTTTTTGCGACTTTGACATTCAGAATCATTCTTGAAGCAAAATGTTATTCTTTTTATCATCTGAAAATTCAGCAAAACAACAATTCTCCACCCGAAAAAGTCGAACGTTCCTCACTCAAAACAATCAAATTCCAATAAACAAACAAGTCCACACTCTTAGTCTTACTCACCGTGTTCCAAGCATTCGAAGTCATACACCAATCGAATGTCCTCATTTTTAACTTTCTGCACATGGCCGTCGTCAAAGAAAATCATATGATGAAATTCATTTTCGCTGATCGCTGCCAGCATTCCCGGATATGGATGACGCTCTTGTCTATCATAAAGTGGAATTGTTTGACACGTTCCAGCATTGACGATGTACGGCAAATCAACGCTTCGGCGAAACGCCACTACTCGAGCCCCACTATGGAAGTACTTGCTACGCTTGGCCCAGGCTAATTTGCAATTTGGTAAATCCATTTTTCGATCACCAAATCGCACAATGACACTTCTCTCCTCCTCATCGTTTTCATTGATGAAACTTTGTTCGGAGACTATATGACACGGTTTCCAGGGAGCAATTACACATTTACTTTTCGATTTGTCTGCCCAACATCGCTGCTGCACGTCTGATTCACGCGGCAAAGCTATTCCGAAAAAGGGGATTTCGAAAACTTAGTTTTCAGCGATAAAAAGCAAAGTCAAAATTTTCATTCAACTTACGCGTTGCAACTGAGACGAGGCATATGTCTATGTCTTCATCTCTGCTTATTTCGAGTGTACATAGATTTGCCATTTTATCGGGCCCGAATTCGTCCACAGCAAGTAATTGAAAACAGTCTTAGCAAGCAATCGATGCGAATTGTTTTTCTGATACGGATTCTCACACTGGAAATGAACAGAATTTCAACATGAAAGGAGATTTGAAGCGAATTTTTTTCCAAGTAAAACTGAAAATTATGCAAAGTTCTAGTGTGTTTCATATGACTCAATATACACTTCGATTGCAGAGTTATTTTGCGTTCATTCGTGGTATACTTTGACATTTCATTGACATTCTAGTTGGCGTCAGACAAATTACTCGACGCTTGGTTGTGATGAGCACGAATAAAAAATACTTTACCTTTTTAAGCTTTTTATCCCAATAATCGCGTCCAATCAATTGCTTTTCAATTGAATTTATCAATTTGTTGCTTTTGCAAAATCGGAATTTTGGTTTGAATTAACATAAATTTTTCACCAAAAGTTACACACGGTGTTTATGTTATTGCAAGCGAAGCGTCTGTTGAACACTGGCTTGTGATTCTATGCCGTGACGGCTACATGACGAGCGTCGTCAATCTCAATACAGTGATTTGATTTGTGTGAAGTTGGTTATGGATAACAGCTGGCAGAATCTCTCCAACTCAATTGAATCGATTTGAAAATTCTTCATAACAAGCAACATCGACGAGAATTATGATTTTTGAATTTTGGTTTTAAAACGAATTTGAATTGAACAAAAATTGGTTTTGAAAACGTACATTTAATTGATGGATAAAAACTGAGTTGCATGATCATCATAACATGATATTGCAGTAGCACAAACCTTTCGACTAGACCTTGAGATAATTTTTTCCTTCAAATTCTCTCTTGATTCGGCTATTCTCTGTTGACCGATCGAAGAATGTGATGAGAAATGAACAAACTAATTGAAATTGGGAATGAAAATGGCTCATTTCAATCGATTCGAATTTTTATTCCATAGAATTACATATTTCCTGACATTTTTCTGCTTAGATAATAATTCAATTTGTATTCTTATAGCTATTTTTCAACATGAGTTTATTTTGAACAAATTTCAGTCTGATTTTCGATTGTAATTTACAAAAATGAACCGAAACAGAGGTAATATTGAATTTGGCGTCGAATTTTACAAAATATCTATTCGGAGCTGGTACAAAAGTACCGTACATGTTTTATTTTTTCAATTTTTTTTCGAATGTTATTTTCTCAATTTTATCAAGTTAATTTTGATTCTTTGAATGGAATTGTTGGTGTTTGCTGGTAAACTTTTATGACTATGGCTGAATGTATGTTCATCTGAGCTGACTATTCAGAGATAGATCGATAGTTAAATGTTTTGATGACTTTATGAAGTCAATTTAACGTTCCATCGTAACCTTGTAGATATAACCGCCTCCCTTTTCAGTTACACGCCATTCGTTACACAATCGATCCAGAACAGCTTCGTAGTCATCTTCGTTATCGAATGCAAGTGAGAGCTTCTTTAGTGATGTGCATTCTGCCACGAAAGAGACCACTTCATCAGACGGAATACAAGCATGTACGCCTAAATCGACTTCCACTAATGCTGGCGAAGCAATCTTCAATAAAACACCCTCCTCACGATGTTTAATCGAAAAAAATGTCAGTTTGGTAAGTGTTTGGTGCTTCCTGACGAAATTAACCAATGCCTGATCCATAGCAAGCCATACGACTTCCAATTCCTCAAGTTTGTCGAATGTAAGCGGAAATGCGTGTACAGCGGACGCTCGGAATTCTTAAGTTTCGGAAATCTTAATTGTCCAGAAAACTTAAGCAGTTTTTGCTTTGTATATAACTTCCTAAAATCTTAAGATTTGACTTAAGTTTTCTGAATAGGTTCTCATTTTTTTTCAATTATTTTTTTGAGTTCAACTTAATAAAAATGTAAGGGGAAGTCGTCTAAGATGGGCCATCGGGTAAGACGGGCCACCCCCGAAAATTTTGGCAGACGCCATATTAACCGCAAACTGATCAGCAACATGTTAATGCACCATCGGTAGCTATGTTTTGGTAGTGCTCAGAGGAGTAAAGAGATCCTCTATGTATGATAAAACATGTTCGTTTCAAAATTTTGTGAAAAATCATGTTTAGTGCATTTTGTCGACAAGCACGGTGTGAATTTTTTTTGACAATTTTCGAAAGTGAATATATCAAACGTGTTGTAAAAAGTACATATTTTCAGTGTACAAAGATAATTTTGGTGTTATTTCATCATGGGAAAACAATTTATCGTCATGAAAAAATGGCGTGTTTTGGTTAAGATGGGCCACCCAACATTTTTTTTTGTTATGTGCTCAAACTCTATTGTTATGTTTGAAAATCGTGTTTTAAGCAATCGCATAGCGTTTTAAAGTGATTCTATGGTATTTTTTGCCTGATGTTGGCCTATTGCGACCAGCTACACTAAGACCTTCATAAAATCGTCGTGGACGTCAGCTTATTAAAAACGCGGAAAGTACATCGCTGTAAGCACATAAATGAATAAAAATTGACAAATCTTTCGAAATATGGTGTTACCATTTCATTATTTCTCTTATTTTTCAAATTTTGTGGGGTGGCCCATCTTAGACGACAAATTTTTTTTTTTGTCAATTTTCAAGGTGTTCGGAAAATGTGCGATAAAATTCTTTTTTTCAATGCAAACGAATGACAATCTTAAGCAAAAACTTTCCTTTTGAGGTCCTCTTTCCAACGGTATATATAAGTCTCAAACAATATCCACATTTAAGACTTTTATAGCGGTCAATCAATGTGTGGCCCATCTTAGACGACTCTCCCTTACTACATCTCGTAACTTGAGCTTTTTTACATTTGGAAAGTGTACGGTATCGTTGCCAACATTCGAGAAGTATCCAAATGGATTGATGTCCAGGCGTTCCAGATGCTGTAGATGTTCACTAACGCTCTGAAGGTATTTGAATTCAAAGTAGCCAATAATGGACAGACTTCGTGTATTCAGGTATAAACGCAAGAGCTCAGACAAATTGTTCAAACGGTTATTTGTATCAATTGGAAGGGACAGAGTCAAATGTTGAAGATGGGGAAAATGAACAGCGGTCTCGTTACGATCCGTAAATTCTAAACGTCGCACTTTCGGGAACCATTTATCGAGTTCCGACAGCTTGCTTCCCAATTTGCAGCTATCAAAACAAAGTGTTTTAACCTGGGTGAACGGCTTCTTCAGATCGTCCAGTGTGCTTGCTTTGCAGCGTTGAAATTTAATTTCAACCAATGATTCGGCACAGTATTCGTTGACATAAGCATCCATATGTTTATCATGTGTGATGTCCAATTTTGTGATCAAATGTCCAAAGCAGCGGAGCAACTTTAATCGGAATGACCGTGGAATTTGAACCGTTGGTGGATACATGTTCCGCTCGAAAATCAGTATAGACTTGTATCTCGAAAGGATAAAAATCCATTGTTTCCCATACCGACTCGCGAATACCAAATCCGCTGCTGGTTTCAATTGTTTGTTGGAGTCGGCAACATTCAAGAGATCTATAAGGCTTAGATTCTTGAAAATGTGCTCGAGGCAATCAACATTGACGTCTGTCAACTTTGTGGTGCCATCGTTTGGCTGCGGACCAAGCTTTGCCAGTTTCTCTTCCTCTTCCTCATCCATGCGCCGGCGCAATCTTGTGTAATGAATCTTCGTCGGCTGCTGGGCTATTTTGTTGGATGCACGTTGCTAAAAATCGAATAAACACGAAATTGTTAGATTTTTGGACCCAAAATCTCAATAAAATATGAAAATTTTGCACACAAATCCATTAATTATGCATCGACTTTGGTTACACTGTCAATTGAACACAAATTTTGAGGTTAAGTTATGCGTTCACAATATGAGCTCTCTCTGCATTGAAACAAAGAATACATGAAACTAGTTTGAACTTATCCTTTCTAATTTCCCAAAAAAAAACAATTTGATTTTGATTTTTACCACGTCTGCAGACACGGTCTCGGATGTTTTAGATCGTTTATTCGCCGGTGGGTTGGCTCCTTCTGGTTGTCGCTTTCGATCAGCGGCTTCATTCCGATTATCCATTTGTCTGTGAGGTTCTTTCGCCAATCTGAAAGCCAATATTGAGGGATTGAAAGCGTTATTCATTTTGGTTTGGCCTCACTGTCACTATTGCAATTGCTACGAAAACTGCAATCTTAAATTTGCACAATTTGCATGAAAATGAGTCTAACTTTTCAAATCAATCTCTTTGGAAATAAGAGATGAACTTGACAAAAGAGCTAAAATCGCAATTGAATCAAATTTGAGTCTCAATCCATCCACTTTGAGAACCACTGAATTCAATGTCTAGAACAGTACTTACATTTTCAGAGAAAATAATGCAAAAAAAAAACACGGTAAATTCGCTGGTTTTTGGTGTTAGGCTATAATTTCTTATAGTAAAAACACTTTCCAGTCGATTTGCTAAAGAAATAAATGGGAAAATCAACAATTTCAGAATATTTTTCGTGTTTATGCGATCAAATTGCGGAGCTATGATTACATTTGACACCACATTACGACTTGAATTGATGCGATTGC